CAAAAACAAAAACATACTTTGCACGATCCACAAGTGGGATCTAGGGAGGATAGTGTGTGTGTAGACTTTACCCCTACCTTGTGAAGGTATATAGTCAAAGATTGCAATAATAAATTTTATACCATTAGTTTTTCAAACAGTTTTGTTTAGTCTAATGCACCAAGGAAAAATATCGGGTGATTTCTTTTGGTTTCATTTAATTTCTTCAGATTTCATCGATTAATATTACATTAAATGTATGAATAATATTCTACTTCTATTTACTTAATAATTTATTAGTAACTTAAATATATTTTCTTTTAATCTTTTGCAGACGTACTTGATATTTTAGTGATAGTTTAGGCCTCCCTTGGAGAAGCAAAAAAGAAACAAAGAAATAATATTAACGAAATGAAACGTAAGTTAGAAGTTAGTTTAACTTAATCATTTATTACTATAAATAATTATTATTTGAATCCAAGGTATTTAATACAATTGATATAATATTAAATTGTAAGTTTCAGGTATGATCCTGAAATTATAACCTTACGGGGAGATTTATAGTCTGTTTGGCCAAGTTTCTTCAATAAAAAAAGTGCTTTTGAGTAGAAGCAGAAGATATTTTGGAGAAGCAGAAAAAAGTAGCTTCTTCCTCCGAAGCACTTTTGAGAAAAATACACTTAGAAGCACTTTTTAAAAGCTTGGCCAAACACTTATTGTTGCTTAGAAGTGCTTTTCAAATTAATTAGCCAAACAAACACCGCTCCTCACAAAAAGTACTTTTAAAAAAAGCACTTCTCAAAATAATCTGATTTTTCTAGCTTGGTCAAACGGGCTATTAGTCGAAAAAGAAGGTGGTACACTCCAAAAATTTATGCATAAAAACCTATTGACTCGTTATATGATGTTTAAGTGTAAAATATACCAAAGGTGGAATTTCAAAGGTAAAATTATAATTTTTTATCCTTTAGATTGTACTTAACCTTTTTTCTTATAAGTTTGTGAAGGAAAGTTCATAATATATACTGCACATATTAGTAGTACATTGATAAATGTTCGAAAAAGCAACAGCTGTAACGACCCGACCCGTCGTATCAGGTATTACCGTCCTGTTTTTCCCATTTACTGCTCATTCATGTTTTATTATCAGCAACGGGTGAGTTAGAGTTTAATTGAAGTGGTTTGAATAGGAAAATGAGACACTTAGTCTCTTTAAGGAAGGTTTGGTTTGGAAAAGTCAACCGAACGTTGACTTATTAG